GAGCATTTGGACTGCATTTGCAGGAAATTGTTGGCAATAATAGGTGATAGAGAGTATAGAAACATTAAGACTTTGGTAGTAAATAGATTTCGTATTTATTTAGCATTATATTTTATTGAAACGCTCCAAGTGCCTGTGGATACGTGCGACTACTAGCGCTCAAGAGGTCGTTGTCGTATCAGGTACTACAGATATGTACCCGAGGAACATATATGTATACACAAAGTGTGCCAGACTTGTACTACAGAAGTGTACACTAACCCTAACACTAACCCTAACCCTAACCGTAACCCTAACCCTAAAGATACCTCATATAAAAATACTAAACAACCTAAAACTACCTCGGGTACATATCTGTAGTACCTGATACGACAACGACCCCATCTGCACTACTAGCTGCTATGCTATCCAACACATTATGTCTTTACATAGCAGAATCAAATAGCACTCCACCATAACATATCAACCTGCCACGACACACACATGACAGTATCGCTGAGAGGGTCTATGTCCCCCAGGGTACTGCCGGAACGTAACCTGGGTATAGTACGGTATACCGGAACGTACCCTGGTACTATCTAATATGCCGGACCGTACCTCGCCTACTCCACTAACGAGTTTAGGGAGTCGCCTACGCCTACTCTCTAACCCTAACCCTAACCATATCAGATAGTTACCAGGGTACGTTCCGGTATACCGGACCGTACCCAGGGTACGTTCAGGCAGTACCCTGGGGGGCATAGACCCTATGAGCCACAGTATCAAGCATCGCCTATACACGTACTGCACCACATCACACTGCGATGACGGCACACTCCTACCTTGCACGCCGAATAGACGATTCTGCCCGTAAGGCCCTACATATTCCTTATCCGCCTGTGATTTCCGTCCGAGTCCACATAGAGACATCGTTCTCCAAACTGCGGAACCAGCCGCGATGAAAATATCATTTACTAAGTACGTAATTGACTCCATACGCCGACAATGTTTTTTCTGTCCCCTGTCGCTCATTCACTGTCGCGGAAAAGCTGGGTTTCATTCGCACACTAATTGAAAGCAAAATGCCACGTGTATAATTCCAGTAGTACAGCCTACCGTGTTGATTACGTGTCCGCTAGCAACACAGGCGTTCGTAGTACGACTCATAATACACTGATGACAGCACATAAACCTGACTGCATGACATGACTACACTACAGGAACGGCATTGATCGATCAAGCTACTGCAGCTACCTGCACCAAGAACATTTACAAGCATTTCACTATAACGGGACTGTTTTTGCACACCAACGTGGACAGTTTCGTAGTTCACGAGTCGTACGGGTGAGTTGAATTCCCTAGCAAAGCTTCAGCTGATGATCACGCATAACTTGGTGCTTCAACAGTACGACACAGAGCTAGTTCAGTAAACGAGGTCCGCCATTGCTACATCGGTCAGCTAGAGGCTTCAATCAATATAACGACGGCAGGCGCGCATGGTCGGATGCTAAAAGACCTACTCAGAATGTTCGTTACCCACAGGCGCACACTGGAATGTATTACCGAACGCAGATGCCGCATGCGCTACAGCCCACACGCGTGCAGCTGCTGCACACGGAGTGGGCGCATTAGGATAGACTCGCCAACGAGCCTGTATGACGTCCCGATCCGACCGTCATCCCTATATTTACATTCCAATGTATGACAGCGAAAAGTTGCTTCTAACTTCAGCTTCTAAACATTATGATAATATTCTAAATTGTCCTTCGCGAGAGTCCACTGCCCTTAATTTTCTTACATCTTCGATTAAATACACGATCATTTCTTGACAGCAAGTAATAGATCCACCCGTGTAATAAATCAGGGTCATTAGCCCCGGCTATAGGCCTACGTGTATACCCTGTGAGACCACACACTGAAATACTAGGAGTTACACCACCCACGTTAAGTAAAAACGTAGCAGACAGCTAAAAAAAAACTAGATAGTCAAAACCATTATTCAGCCGTTGTCTGCATCTTGCAGTTGTAATATACTCTGTTAAAAGTAAAAAAATGGAAACGAGCAATCAAAACTAAGTTTAATGTAATGCTCAAAACCAATATCTAAAAAAGGCTTACGCAGAAGAAACGGCGAATATATATAGTATATATATATATATATATATATATATCTATTATATGGTAAATCAGTGTGCACTTGAGAGGAATTTGGTACATATGGCCAACCAAACAGAGGGCAGTTTGAAGGCAGATAAACAAGACATTTTATAATGTTATTCGCCTCTACGCAACAATTAATGCAGTTACTCAACTGAATGGCCGCGCATCTGTCAAAAAACTGCGGCTTCAAGTTTTAAGTCTTTTTCGCGCACCAAACCACTTCGTAAAAATAATATTCGAAGAATTTCAAAAGCGAACTAGCGATATTATCACAAAGGAAATGTCATTACACCGAGCCTGCAGTCCACCATGAAACGCAGCTACAGGCAGTGAACATGGACGTTCGCGAAGCAACAGATAAAGCAGTAAGGGCTAAAGTTACAAATGTATATGGAAGTTGTTGTCCAATAATGAGTGAATGCAAACGTGCTGGAGTGAAGTAATAGATAAGATATTAGAATTCGTAGAACATGGATGATTGGTCGGCTACAGGTACGGGCTGTACCGTTAAAAACGCCTACAGACGCGGCATGGATTCACAGCGCGTGATACCCGGATGATATGAAGAGTAATATATACGGTACATTAAGAGGGGAGTAGCGGATAGCAGCTAAGAAATGGCGTAAGCAACTTCCTATAATCAGGGGATGCCTGTGTGGTATTATAAAAAATTACAGCAAGTATATAACTGCTTTATTATTAGCTTACTGTCTACTCTGACTATAGAAGCATTTGTGCCAAAGTGCCCGTTTGAACAAATCAACAATAAGGATCACGAATGATTTCGGCTTCAATGATCGTGGGCGTTTTGGCTGATTGCTTATGTGAGGGGTGGGCAAACTGCGGCCCGCGGGCGCATGCGGCCCTCTACGTGGGTTCTGTGTCGGCCGGGAAGCTCAGCAAATTTAAAATAAAAAAATATTTAAAAAAAATAAATTTTTGTGAAAGTCAACATTTTTGTGCTTGAACCCGAGGCTGACTTTTTCAGTGTCATACAGATTAGTGTTCTATTGTCTCTGGGTTCGCTCTGCAATGCCATTTCAGCTGTTTATGGTCCAGAGATGGCGCCCTTGAGGCGAAACGCACGTAGGGCCCTATTATCTTAGAGCGCACCGCCCGATTTTAAAAAGTGCGGCCCTTTGACTTTTCATGGCCCACTGATGCGGCACTCGCTCTAAAAAGCTTGCCCACTACTGACTTATGTGATCGAGAGGATCCAATACGGTGGTACATGAAACCAACTATGCAGGCGCCCATTTGAAGAAGATTTGCGTTTGACTGGGCCAATCTAGGCCAAGTAACCACGACCAGAGTGATCCGCTCTAACCAAACACGCCCTAAGCCCAGATTTTACACCTAACCATGTTGAGGTTTCATGCAGCCCTGCAATAACACAACAACACCCCTCAAATTAAAGTGTCAATGACACTATAGCTCACCTTGGGTGTGATAGAAGAGGGAGATGATATTTAAAATTTGGTAAGTATTTATGATGTGCTCAAATGTTTTTATACCCTGTTTTATACTAACAAAAATTTCACTGTTTTGTTTCAGGGTTAGTTTTGATGCGAAAATAAATGTTTCGAATCTAAAAGTCTGAAATCTGGGCGAGAGATGGCGCTACGCCTAAATGATCGCCATTTTGGTTTTCGATTATCGCGCAAATAAAAGCAATAAAATATTCCAGTCAAATTACTGTAACGAAGAATATAAAACACAATATTACACGTAGGCATGATTAGGTGGGTGGGTAGGTAGGTAAGTAGGTAAATTTAACAAAATCGAATTAATCTAGATGGCCATTTTCATTTTTGCCAAAAAAAGGAGGCGTGGCTTGAAAGTAGGTCGACTGGGGTGCTCCAAAATAGGACGTTCAAATCTCTCCCGCAGGAGTAACAACTGCATGCAATTTGAAACATGTGGGTCAAACGGTTCTTGAGTTATCATTGACCGTAGGCAGACACTGAAATGCATAGTGAAATTGCCAAAATCTACCTAATTTGCATAATTTAAAAAAAATATCAAAACCTGTGTGATATGTTATGGGGCCAGTCCTTATTCATTCACATACCAAAAAATGAGCAAAATCCGTTGAACCTGAACTGACTTATGGCCATTTCCATTTTTGCTAACAAGTGAGCGTGGCTCGAAAGTAGGTCAACTGGCGTGCTTCAAAATAGGACGTTCACATCTCTCCCATAGGAGTAACAACTGTATGCAATTTGAAACATGTGGGTCAAACGGTTCTCAAGTTATTGTTGACGGACAGACGGACGGACGTACGACACCCCATGGCAATAGCTCATCTTGCCAATGTCAAGGCGAGCTAAAAAAATTAGCACCTCAGACACAGAACAACGACTTTCACTAATACAAGTTCATCACACCCTTCTTTGAAAATTCATATAGTTAATATTTGACCTGGATATAAACAGAATATTAACGTTTTGACTCTGCCGACCTTTGACCTCTGATTTCTAACTGTCCATGTATTTTCAGATTACCACTGACTGAGAGAATTTGATAGCCAGAATCAGAGAAATCAGAAAGTAGAGTAAGAGATAAACTGAGCAAATAGTGACACCAACAACGAGACAAAGGGCCTCCCAGTATTCACCACAATCTTTTAAAGTTTCCTATCTAGAGGATGTCTAGTAGATGTGTTCACACTTCTCTTGCTAGAAATAAATGCCCCGAAAATAAATGCACTGTGCATTATGGCAATAGCTCGATCATGTTGACGATGTCACGGCGAGCTAAAAACCCGACATTGTTATTATTTGGCTGGAGCACCACTGCAAGTATTTTTGTTTTGTGTCCGTAGTGGACCCACTCGAGAGGACGACTGGACAGTTCCTCACCTGGCACAGCATGCTGCTCTATGTGAGTCAGCTCAGAACCGATCAGGGTATCAGCAGTCACCGACTGGTTGAAATATGCGGATAGATGCCGAAGTGACAAGCGTTTACGGCGTGGAGGCGCCACCAGCTTGGGCTCGTTCAAGGAATGCGACTTCTGAAGTCTCTTCTCATTGCCGTTCGTCTGTTGGGCCATGTCTCTTCTAAGGTGTGCGATGACTTACTGGACTCAACAGTGCGCGTCGTCGTGAAGGTGGCTTTTAGTTTGTTCATCTGACTAGCAAACGATCACACAAACATGCAGTAGCATAGTGACATATAGCAGACACACCTGAAATGAGTAACGACGCTTAAGAAAACGGGCATATAGAGGCGTTCACGCACACGCGCACACACGTCGCATACACGAACACATGCACGAATACTTCCCACATATAGTTTCCTATGCTATAAACAGATTTCTAGCATGATTAACAAAGGGTTAAACCTCATCTAAGAAGCTAGGGTATTAATTTAGTTTAAACGATACTGCACTAAATCCACTATATCTAAAAATCTGCAATAAGTACAGCAATAGTCGGTTAACCACACCATCCTCCACCACGACCGACAGCAGCTAAAAGCAACAGTAGCAACACGTGCAACGTACAACTACACTATGCAAGTAGGCCTACAGCGCTCACCAGGCAGATCGTCAACAAAAACCGCTGCCAGGTCCAGGCTCAATGCTGCCGATCTTTCAGCCTCAAAAGACGTTAGCTGCCATGGTAAGCGCTCTTCCTCCTTTCTACGTTCGTTTTCCGAACAAGCCATGGACATGTAAGCAGCCCGAGGCACTTCGCCAACGTTCAATTAAGTGACTTGATATTTTTCAACTTTCACCAAAAAGGCACGCACAGCTTGTTTCTTTAATAAATGCGTTAAGCAGTGCCCATACCTTGCTGCAAGCTGGTTTTAAATGGCAGCCTGTTTTGAAGATGTCCTTTTACCCTCCCCCCTCTCTCTAGTCTGGTAAAATTCCACACCTACATCTACCGTATCTAGGAGTGGCAGCTACGAGTATTGCTACGCAAACACTACTTCCATCGGGCCATATTTTATGGGCAAACAAAGTTTTTGTTGTTGTACTAGTTGCGATGTGTGCACATGAACTCATCCAAACATTGACGGATCGAAAACAAACGTATATATCAATATGATACGATTAACGAATATAACGATTATAATTGATTTGGCACCCTTTCACGTACTCTAAGATCTGCTAATAGTGAACAACTAATCATGACGCGATGCATTTGTGTACATATCTGCATAGAAAAGCTGTTACGTTAGTTTGATTAGCAGAAGACACATATCTTATCATTAGTAAACACATGTGGGTTACAGCTAGTGTAAACAACGGGTTAATGCAGCCACAAAAACGCAAACTACGAGGGTTACTCCACACTGCATGGTTACAACATCTAAACACAATATATTACATATGATACGTATGTGCGTTTACATAAAAGTACTCAGATTTAACGCCCTACCTGCTAAATTGGTGTTCCCTACAGCATCATATATCAAGGTACCAGGGTTCTAAATACCACCAGCTTGACTACGATCATGAAACATGGACGTACAAACTGGGCTGGCCAACTTTAGAGGTATGCAATAATTCTATTGGCCAAGGTGAACCATGCTTGTCTAACCCGGAAGAATGTGCTTGCAGGTATCGCTCGTGTGCATTCATGCATGGGCTTGCCTGGCCAACCCGCTGCTAGCTAAATCATCAGTGGAATGGTATAAGGTGGCTGTCAACCCATGCAGACCGTATCGACAATGCTAGGATTCATAATAATCTCCAACAACCGAAACGCAATCGTTTGGTTATTCCACAGATAAGAGTCATTGCGCCCAGATGGTAATAACATAGACACATCCTACTATTAGTGTTAGATGATAGATGATAGCCCATATGCTCCTAGCAGCACCGAATAGTGAGGGTGTCAGGTGCCCTGACGAAAAACTATTTGGTAACACCTCGCCACAATCGCCCTTCTCTGAAGGCAGCAACTCAGTTCTGGTGTGCACCAACTACACAAGGAATAGACCACTTCACATTGAAAAAGCTGTGCAAATATGCTAAGCTGTAAATTCGGCTTATTGTTATATATTTATTATTTTGCTGATTAAAAGTTGTACAATTTTTAGCAGCACTATGCAAATGACCAATGCAAAATGCAAATGACAATGACAATGCAATGACAATGCAATGCAAATGACCACTATGCAAAAACACCAATATAATCGATTTAGATATTACATACTCAGCTTACAGTGAAAAGGCCAGAAAGAGATTGCTTAAAAAACATACACCGAGTATACGTACGTACATTGCTACGTCTTGTACCTACTCACGGGTGACGGATCCATTTCAAGGCACGCCGTGACTAATTAATTGCATGAATGCAAAATGCCTTCCTTATTTAGCTGTAGCAAATTTATCAATAATTGATATCAAACACGACCCTATTTTCCTTCTTTTCTTGTCTCTTTGTCATCTCTTGTTCTTTTCTTTTTCTTATGTAAAACAAAGAGAGCAGTTCTGTGTGGTGTACATTGGATATTTCCGACGTGCATTTTGCCAGTTTCATTTATTTCTACTTCTTAGTGAGAGCGCTATAACGAAGGTGTGCAGTTCCACTCCCTTCTGAATTTGACATTTTTGCTTCTGTCTGCACCTGACACCCCCTCTTTCAACCGGGCCCCTGCCACCTCACTATACAACCAACATCAATATATTGGTTTTAGGTTCAATCAAGTCGTGAAATATCAATCTATTGTTGAACAATCATGTTCACGCATATCACATCTGCAGTTACAATATTACACAAACCCACGGTATGTAAAGGTATGTGTACTTCAGCAATTCAATACAATTGCGTAGAGAATTGTGCTTTCCATGTGTAGATCAAGGGAAGAAGAGTATGAATTTCCCCCCACACAAAACCTTCTCCACCAAACTGCATAAAGCTTGATATCATATGTCTAGTTAAAAGATGAATGCCATTAATATATTATCTAAAATAATATACTTTCACTGATGGGCGTTTGTTGATTGTATTTTCTTTGAGTATAAAATACAAGTTGTAAGTACCTTGGGTAACATAAATGTTGTATCTCTCTTAGTGCATGAATTAGAGTAGATATTTTTACCTCACATCACTCTTACTCCAATAAATTAGAGGACGCAGATATGTGAAACTCAACCACCACGTTTATTCCTAGAATACCCCCCGCCCCCGAGCTCTCTCCACCCGGCAAAACGATCCATGAACAATAGAACATTACATCTCTTCATTTCTTTAAAGGAACACAATAACCTGGAGCAATAAACCCTTTGCCATATAACATACAATGTCTGAACTAAATTCAAACTTATTCCAGTAACACAACTGTGGAACAACTAATCTCAAGACATTGTATCTCCAACACAATAGAAACGAAATTCTACTCCATTACATAGTCAGAGTACTTAGCAGGTACTCTCTTTTGCCTGTGGGATCTACGATACTGGGTTGTCAAAGAAGATTGTGGCATCTGAGACGTATCTTCAGATGAAGCCTGAACATCTGGATCTATAACTAGTTCTGACACATCACTGTCTGGAACTCCACTATTTGCTCTAGTTTCAATCATTGGTGGCATGGGTGACGCGGTACCTTCTACCTTATCGTCCTGTATGGGAGTACTAGCATTCGACGCGTATTTCCTAACATGAGTAGTATTTCTATGAGTATTGAGTATCATTCGGAGCCTCCACTACAAGACTATTACCAAATTTGCTTACGACAGTGTGGGGAACCGGATCGAATGTTGTTGAAAACTTATTGGTTTTCTATTTCCTGATCGGAACTTTATCACCAACATCAACGCAAGAGTATTGCGCGTTGCGACGTTCGTCAGCGTAGATTTTCGCTTTCCCTTTCTGTTCAGCATCACGATCGCGTACCTCCATATCACTACGACTGTCTGCCTGGAAATCTGGTAATTTCCCTCTCACTTTACGATTAAACAAGAGTTCAGCTGGACTTCTCCCTGTAGTATGATGGTCAATGCCACGGTATTTCGTCACATACTTCCTGAGTTCTCTTTTCCAGTCTAACCCTTCTGCCTGAGCGATACGAATTCTCTTCATCAGCGACTTATTCTGGCGTTCTACCTCGCCATTTGCTTGCGCCCATTTTGCAGTAACCTTGAGGGCCGTGACCCCATTTTGATCACAATACTCCTGGAACTCTTCAGAACGAAACTGTGGTCCGTTATCCGACTTGATAGTGATAGGGAGTCCATGACGACTGAATATCTCCTCCAAACTATCGATTATCTTTACAGCCAGGGTAGAGTTTAGAATATCGTATTCATAGAACCAACTATAGTAGTCAACTAGGACAACTATCGAATGTTCCAATGGAAATGGTCCCAGCAAGTCGATAGCGACATCCTGCCAGGGTCCGTCCGGTAGCGTTGTTGGTCTCAGCGGTTCGGGTGGATCTGGATGCGTGACTAACTGACAACCATGACACGATCTACAATACTTCTCGGCAGCTCTATCTATGCCTGGCCACCACACTTTGCTTCTTAGATTCTGTTTCGTTCCCCGACCACACCTAAATGCCTTTCGTGTGCCAAATCTAGCGCTTGTGGTCGTAACTTACTTGGTAATACAATACGAGTACCTCATAGCACCAACTGTCCAATCACGCATAATTCTGCCACTATTGGCGCAAACGCTTTGCATTTCTCACATCGACCCGTCTTTATTGCTTCTCGTAATACGATTAGCTCGTCGTCAGCTGCAGACATTTGTTCTACCTCACGTGTAGTTAACGCTCTTGGTGTCGCATTGCTGGCAACAAACCCCACATATTCCTCTGCACCATGTACATGCCCTGGTGCATTGGCCTTACCACTTAGAAAGCGTGACAATGAATCTGCTATATTCTTTGGCCCTGGTACATACACTACTTTGAACGTATAAGGTTGGAGACGTAGCACCCATCTTTCAATTCGCGCACACGGCTGGGAACGCGGGCTGTAGATAGCCTCTAATGGTTTATGATCCGTCACTAAATCAAATTCCATACCATATATGTATGCATGAAATCTCTCGCACGCCCAAACTAGACCCAGCGCTTCACGCTCTGTCTGTGAATATCTACGTTCACAGTCGCTCAAACTACGACTCGCATAACATACTGGTACGAACTTCCCATTCTGTTCCTGTACTAGCACAGCACCTAGACCAACTGGACTAGCATCAGCTATCACCTTAGTGGGGGCATCTTTATCAAAGTAAGCCAACGTTATTGCTTTAGCGAGAATGTCCTTCAAAGCCTGGAATGATGCTTTCTGCTCGGGACCAAAGTTGAATTGTACCTCCTTATGAGTCAGTTTCCTCAGTGGCTCAGAAATGGTCGCGAACTGCGGTATAAACTTGCCACTATAACACACTAGACCTAAAAAGCTTCGCACCTCTGATGCACTCGCTGGCTCTCGCGCTTCCATCACAGCTTTTACCCTGTCCTCACTAGGCCCTATAGCCTTCTCGGATAGTAGTATCCCCATGAATACAAGCTGATCCATATCAAATTGACATTTGTCGGAATTCAGTGTTAGCCCGCTGGACTGCAGCCGTTTCATTACTGCATGTAGCTGTCTATCATGTGTTTCTTTATCAGGTCCATGCACTATGATATCGTCAGAGATATTTTCCACACCCTCGATGCCTGCTAACGCTGTTGCTATCTCGTGTTGATATTGCTCGCTGGCGGAACATACACCAAACAATAATCTTTTATAGCGATACAGCCCTGAATGAGTGGCGAATGTGGTGATTTCACGACACTCTGGAGACAGCTCCAACTGGTGATAACCCCACTTTAAATCTAATCTGCTGAACACTTTTGACCCATTAATATTTTGGAGCAGTTCATCCACGGTGGGTATGGGGTATCGGCCATGAATAACAGCCTCATTTGCTCTACGCATATCAAGACACAGCCTTATGTCACCTGCTGCTTTCGGGACGACTACGACTGGATTTACCCAAGGTGTGGGACCATTGACTGGTTCAATGATGTCTAGATCCAGTAATTCTTTTATCTTTCCATCTACCTTATCCCTCAAATTGAATGGAGTTCGCCTCAAGGGTTGTGCTACTGGCGGTACAGTGTGATCAATGTGGATAATTACTTGCCTAG